GATTTTTCTTTTATGCCAAAAGTCATTAGGATATTTAGTAAAGATCATGTTCCATGAAGATATTTAGTAAATTTCCTACCGTAAATATATCAAAACTTAATTTTTGATTAGTAATATGCATTGCTAAGAACTTCATTTGGACAACTTTAAAGGAGATTTTCTCAATATTTAGATTTTTTTGCACCCTCAGATTCCAGATTTTCAAACAGTTGTATCGATCCTAACAAACCATACATCAATAGAAAGCTTATTTATTCAGCTTTCAGATGATGTTCAATTTCAGAAAACTGACCCTTATGACTGGTTTTGTGGTCTAGGGTCACATATAAGTATATTTTATTTTCTCTATAATACTAATCTTCAAAGCAGGCACTTATACAGATCCAGTAATTATATCAACAAACAATTTAAGACATAGTTCCGTGAACTAGTTGGACCAATTTATTACAAAAGAACCAACTCAAAAAGCCAATTACCTCACAATAAAAACTGATAAACTTGCATGAAATACAGGCTTTGTGATATTATATCTTTTATTTCTCTATAATACTAATCTTCAAACCAGACACTACAGAGATCCAATCATTATATCACATGATTCAAGACTAATGAATCACACAATTCTGTGAACCGGTTTCACCAATTCATTACAAAAGAACCAACTCATTAGATCAATTGACTCTCAAACTGAACATCACTCCGGCTCATAAGCAAGTTTAACTCTATACACCATCAATATCTATCAATATCATCAATATCTATAGCTGATGAAATATTTTAGTACATAATGTATATTAACTATAAACATTTCCATGCCTTTTCCAGGGCTGCAAAACTCAACTCTGATATTTCCAGGTTGTCCATGACTGTGGCTGGCTCTAATACCTGAAAATTAATAGCTGAAGCAGGCTTTGGAAACATGCCATTTCCATATCTCCGTCAGGCTAAGAGGATCACACTAAACAGCAGGTGTTTATAATATTCACAGATTAAACCACATATATAACATACAAAATTTGAATGCAAGTGAATGTATCAGGATGTCACCAACCCTACAAAAAAAAGCCAAACACTAATATAAAATGCACGATTATATAGGTAGACCAGATTCAGACTGAGGATTGAGGATCATCAATGTTGTAAATTATTTCAAATGACCAATCATAAGCACTGAATTAAAAATAACTATGGTATGATGGCATTAAGCAAATTGAATTTAAGCAAGCTTTAACCAAAAAACACATGTCCCAGAAACCACATGAATGCATGAAAGGGTTCAAAATGACCCGTACTGGGTTCAGCATAATAAATAATTTACATGCAGAAATATTTCAATATTTCAGTTAATTTGTTCACGTCCATGCACATATTCAGTAAAAAAAATAAAAATAATAATAAATAAATAATCATAAAATTCAGCTATAACTAATGTGTTTATGTGAGAAATACAAATTTCCCTAGCAGGCTTTGCAGATTATGTAGCTATGATCCTTGCAGGCCGGACCAGCACATCTTACACAATATGGATTTTGGGCAGATTTTGAGGGAACTAGAACAGCACCAGTTGGAAATTTGGACACACCCACTCATTCATTATTACTACTTTCAGTTTCCAATCCACAAAGTCATCAACCTACGAAATTACACAAAAGACATTGTGGGAATTATGTATTGTCCAAAAAATGTTAATAAATCAAAATATCTTTTCAACTCACTCTGCACATCCCGGGCTTCCCTCAACCAACCTCATGAGATGCACAGAGGGATGCTTTTTAAACAGTATTTAAGGAGTTCACACGCTTGCCGCACAGTTGTTGGCTGCTTATTTGCACGGTCCGGCCGATAGGAACAATATATTTGCCAGTAAAATGGTTTTGTACTGTATTAAGGAGGACTATCAAGTAATTAAATCATTGTTTTATTTTATTTATTTTTACAGATCAAACCAGTACGAACAAAAAAAAAAAAAAAAAGGTTTTTCTAAACCCTAGCGGTCACATAAAATATTTTTTACATAAAATATTAATTTGACAGTTGCAAACAACATTTTTGACTTAACAGTGTTTTTAAAGGAATTTACAATATTATGACAGTTTATAGATATGAAATATTAATGACAACTTTTGACAATATCTTTCTGAACCTACAACCAAATGTTATTTTAGCATTGTTGAGAAACTATTTCAGTTTTTATTATTATGTTGAATTAGTTCTTATGTTTATATTTTCAGTTTTCATTTTAATTCGGGTTAACATTTTAGTAAATATATTTTTTAAGGCTATATAGTTTCTTATTAATTTTGATAACCGATTTTGGTGAGACTTCCATACAACATTTTTGTGAAATATATATGGCACATCAAGAAATTAAATTTATTTATTAATAAAACTGTCCACCCCATCCGGTAATTTTTACCCCATTATGGGGTAAAGTTTAATCCGGAATTCCGGATTGAAGGCCAGCCTGTTGTCATTTGGATGGGGGTCTCCGGCACCTCCAATGCGCATCGCTATAGAACAACACACATGGCATTACGCATCCCCAAAACGCGCGCAAAATTACCTTGGTCAGCTGTGCTATCTTCTTGCTCATCTTCAGATGGAGGTCCTGCGTGTATTCGAGGGATAACCCGGACGGGAAGGACGTGCTGGTGGATGTCGAAGTGGAGGTGCTGTTATATTTCCCCGTCGAAGCGCTGCCAGCGGGGTTGTAGTAATGCTGCCAGCCCGCTCCAGTCGCCATCTTCACGATATTATATTACTATGGCTGTTATATACAGACTGTAATGGCAAATGGTAAAGGCAGATGATCCCTCGATCCCGACAAAGCAAAAACTGGAGTGACAATGAAGGCGTTAATCCACAAGAGTCATTATTTCATCCGGATTAAAATCATCTGCTCGTATTGGAGTCTGTAAGAAATAAGCGAAAGCGCTGAGATGAGAAGCAGTTCAACCACACATTTCGCTGGGTTCCTTGCTTCTTGTGAACTGACAATAGATTTATAGAAGCAATACATCAAATGTTTTGGATTCCCGGCAGGTGCGTCGCGTTTAAAAGGCGGACGGCGCGTCTAACACGCGTCCGAGCGCCGCTCGTCTGTAAGAAGCAAGAGCCGGTGCAGGTGCGATCCAGGTTCGAGGCATTTCTGTCGGATCCCGTGCGTGTGTCTGTGCGAGCGGTGTTGCTGCACTGACTCTGTTACCATGGATCATCTCAACAGTTTACATGATGCCAGTGACGTCAGTTCCGTTGGTCGCGGCTCCTTTCATCTCCGCCTCCTGTCTCTCCTCCATTCAGTTCTTTTCTTTTGGATGTGATGTAATGCGAAAGTAATTGAAAACGTGATTTTGGAAATGTCTAGGTAGGTGGACAGGAGCTAAAAATAAAACATTGTTCTATTTTTGTTTCTGATTGTGCTCGTGTTTGAAAATATTTTACTTTAAGCGTATGTAGCTAAACGGTTGGTGTAGGATGAATTTTAAGAAATCATGAAATTATAATTATATTTAACAAATGTTAGTTTTTGTGCCATTTAATGCAAAACAACACATGGACTAGTTGTCACTTTTTAAATCCGGTTAGTAATATTTCTCAAGGTTTATTTTTAAATGTCATTTAATGTACAGACACAAGATATGCTACAGAATAAATAAATAAACAAACAAACAAACAGTTCTTTGAGCACACATTGACCTTTGGTGACAGCATGCCCCAATTGCATATGGAATATGTCATGAAAGAATATGATATATGCAACACAAGAAATTATATTTAAAAAAATACTCAGTTCAACCACATA